CAAGACAGATTGCGTCATATGTGATCATATGAAGAGTTCATTTCCAAAGCAATAAACAAAGAAATCTCTGAAGCATCCAATTATTTCAAATACTCTTTGTCATTTTTCATTTTGTGCTAATAACAAATTTAACTTTGGAAAAACAATCTTCATATACTGATTCACATTGCATGTCAAGATGTGATAGTACACATGAGGTGACTTACTGTTGATCAAAACATGTGTTTCTCTCAGCATTCACACATGTTATCACACCAATACACACATTTCCACATGTAAACCTTGCTATAGTTTGGTGCATAATGTGCACATTTCTATTCACATGGGGATCACCTACATACTGTAATTCACATGTGAACAATGTGTAAGTTTACCTGCGGGGGAAATGAATGTAAAAAAAAAAATCTACACAGTTTTCTAAGAAGTTAGTAAACTCCAAACAAAACACACAGTATATGCTCACCCTTCACTGGTGATTCCAAATGAACATAAAGAGGGATAAAAGAGAGGAAGGATTAAAGGAAATTGAAAAAATAAAGCACTTGAGCCTTCTTTCTACCAACATTTTAGTGACATAAAACAAAACAAGGAGTTTCTCAGATCTCAACTTCTGTTATTTTCTTCTATTCTGGCCTCCTAGTATTAGAGGCCCCAAAATGAAATTAAAAGACTTGTCATAAACAATCTCTTACCCCTTCTTTCCACCCTTTGTATCCTCCAGACCATTCATGTGCGTTTCCAGACTCTCCAGGATACTGCTGGGAGCCTGACGGAAAATCAAAACTGCAGTAATCAATAAATAATCCTTTCCACTTGTATGGCCAATATCAGGCTGTGCATCAAGTCAGTGTTTACATTTTAATTACCAGAAAAAAGTGGTAAAAATGAGAGTGACATTGGGAAAATCTCACTGCAATACCCTCATGCATGTATAAACAGAGACACACAAAGACGATTTGTGTCTGAAATTCAATTAGGATTAACATGCCAACACTTCATCCTGTAAACAGGCACTCAGCCAGGGCACCCTGTGTTACTGTGGTTACCGGGTCCTCGAGAGGTTGAAAAGGGCAGTCTTCATCATCTGAGTCTGCTAGATCCACCACTACCCCCGGGTGGAGACACTGGGCGGGGAGATTATGGTGGGTGAGTCATGGGTGTTTCTGTGTGGGTGCATGTGTGCTTGTCAGGTGGGATGGGTGGTATTCATGTGCACTACATCCTTCCAGGGAGCAAAAAAATAAATAAAATGAGAGCCGCGATGTGTGTTAACTTACGTAGTTGATGTCAGGAATGTCATTTTTGTCAACTCCAACTGTCTGTTAAAGGAAAAGAGTTTAAAATCAGCATTACCACACTTTACAGTCACGACTCAGGACATACAGACGGGTGACAAATTAAACGAAAAACCTCCATAGATCAGCAGAGCAACATAACAAATGCAGATTCTTCCACACAGGTGCACTGCATGGTACACTTAAGCAAAGTAAAGGTGCAATTTTGGGTCTACTTGTCCCCCTCCTCCTGGTGGAAGTGGTCTCGTCCAGGATCACAATTACAGGAAAGTTTACTGTATTCTGTTTACATTGTTTTAATTAGCATCTAGTCCCCTTTATCCTTTGTGAGTTTTTCTGAGTTTGGTCTTAATCAACTTGCCGTAGTTGATACTTTCTGATGGAAATCCCTGTCCTTAAAGCAGATATCAAGCTAGTTAATATCTCTATCTGAACAATGTCCCCATCCATAGGGTGTGAGGAGGTCGCTGAATAGTTTGATGAGATGAATCAAAGTCTCCAGATCTCAACCCAATTGAACGCCTATGAGAGATTTTGGACCGGTGTGATAGACAGTGCTCTCCACCACCATCAAACACCAAATGAGGGAACATCTTTTGGAAGAATGGTCTTCATCCCTCCAGTTCTAGAGACTTTTAGAGTCAATGCCAAGGCGCATTGAAGCTTCCTGACAGACCACATGCTGTCAGGCCCAACACTTTACAAAGACACTTTATGTTGGTTTTTCATTTAATCTGTCACCTGTCTGTATATATATATATATATATCATTATGAAGGTTGTAGTGAGGGCTGTTGGTTGTCCCTTACCTCAGCCAGCTTCATGAATTCCCCAATCTTTGTCACCCTGGTCAGGAACCTCTTGTAGATCTCCAAGGCCTCCTTACAGTCACTCTTCTTCATCTTGAAGTATTTCTCTATGTACAGAAAACAAGAGGTTTGCAGGTTCAGATTCACTGTGATCCATGTTTTCATCTCTGAGGTGTCCAGCAAAAGGTCCTTGTGGACCACTGACCTAATAGGTTGATGATTCCATCATTGTAGGATGCAAACAGTTTGACCAAGTCCTTGAAGAGGAGCAGGAATGCAGCATTGATGATCCCATTGTTCAGCTCCTTGGGATGAACCTGAGAGGAGAAAGAGAAGAGAACCTCTGTGTTGTGATGCTGCTGATGGTTCTGTCAAATAAATGTAGAAATCAAGCCAAAGTCTGACTCACATCAAACTCCAGGAGTGTGTCAATCTGAGTCTGCAGAACAGGCATGCCTTTCAACAGCTTCTCAGTGGTCATGGTCCTCATCACGCCTTCAGCACTGAAAGAATACAGACAGAGCATTAGATGTTCCGCAGGGATAAGAACAGCCATTAGATATAGCACAAGTAACAACAAGTGAAAATCACACTCATAAATGAGTCAAATTGCTAAATAATACAAAAGCCAAAGCATGAACTGTCTAGACAGTAGAGGGTAGAGGTATGAGGAATCAAAGGCCTAAAAGCACAAGCTCTCTGAACATACCCCTTCTTGACTCTGGTGAAATCAAAAGCCATCTGGCGGTAGGCGAAGGCTTTCTCGTTCAGGTATCGTCCGTACCGTCTAATGAATGTAGACATGTCATAGCCTAAACAGAAGATTTATGTCAGAAGGTAGGCAGGGTTCAATAATGATTTGTCCAGTTCTTTTGATCAACTCAACAGTGTCTTTTTGCAGCAGGTATAAAAGCTTTTTAAAGAGAAAACGTCCTGAAAATGTTCAGAACTGCAAATCAGTTATCTGCACACAAAACTAAAACAATACCCACATGCTGCTATCTTGTTCACAATTTCTTCTTTTATTCCACATGTATATGACTTTATTTCCATTTTCATTTTTGGGATAAATCCCTTAATAGTTTAACATGTGTCTTTCATTATTTTAGTTTTAGCAGATCCAAATGTATGTATATTTGTCTAAGCATGCTTACAAATGTGTGTAAGATTAGGCATTTGAGACAGAAATGCCAGCATCTGTTTTCATGCATGTTTGCTCGCTCCTGTATGAGTGTGTGTACAATTACACGTCCAGTCCCTCCTACTTGCCAGATGGCCCTCTTTGTGTTTATCTCTTCCTGTTTCTCTCATGTGTTGCCAGATACGGCGATATTGTTCTTACCGTGAGAGCCGGTTTTGTCGATAAAATTGCTGAGGTTGAACAGGGAGGTCCTGGAGGCCAAGTACTGAATGAACCTCTGAGGAAGAGAAAGAAACACAATAAACAGTCACTACACCTGTTGAGGGTAGTGGAGGAAAAACTACAACAAATACTTTAACACCTGTACTTTTTGAACAATATCTCATTCGATCATATAGCAGCTTTAACAGATAAATAGCCAGGAGTAAAAAAAAAAAAAAAGCAAAATAAAGAAAAAATGGACTGACCATGAAATGACCATCTGCCAAGTGATGTACTGTGTAATACTACTGGACTAGCTAGCATAATCAATCAAGAGTTGCATGTATAATAAATACAAAGTCATGTTTTTTTAGGTATCCAAGATTATTTTAACATCTTGTTCCTCTGCACGCCTAGGGAATCTATAAAGTATATGGTCTCAGACAGGGACACTCTATGAAGTAAAGCCTTGTGTGTTTCGCATTCAGTTTTTGAAGTTGACGTTTTCCACTTCTGTTGAAGCAGCAGATAACTGCTCTGGTTCTTCCCGATTGACATCGTTGTAAAAAGTTATGTTACATAGAAAGTAAAGGGAAAAGTAGAAAATGGTACCCTTCTTGGGACAGCTTGCATTCAAACATGTGCATATTGTAGGGAGAGTGTTTACTTCTGGTACCTTGTGTCTAAAAATAAACTGTAACCAATTAAAATAAAGCCTTCATATTTATCTTATACCACTGAATAAAACTGGATTCAAGGTTGAACTGAATTGCACCCACTAACCTCGTTGCCGTGGACACACATGTGATGACTGGTGACAAGGGCCTTGAAGACGACCACCCAGCTGGCATTAGTAGCTCGCTCAAACAGCGTGTCAGCCATCTGAGGGATGTTAACATTGGTGGTATTGGTGGCTGACACCAGGTCTGCAACACAGCCACAAAGAAACATCATCATTCACAGACATCATTCTGTCAGGGCTTTTATCCTCAACATGTGAAACCTGGAGGGCCGACAACATGAAGTAGTTTTCATACAAGATGAAGGGGAGAGCCACAGTTAGTTTAGTCTCAGAGCAATGTCTACATAATTTTAACTGTCTGATTAAACTTTGATTAAGTGAGTGTTCGCTGCAGAGCTTCTCTAGAGACCCATGAGAATATTAAGCCAGGAGATAGGCCTAAGGTACATACAAAATGATGTCAGTGCACGAGCCCACACACATATGCAGGCACACACACACACACGCTGACAGTGCAGAAGGAGTAAATAATGCTTTGTCAGCTCTCCCTGGGTGCCAGTTCAGACAGAGGGAGAGGTCTCCAGCAGTAAGTGTCCAGACCGTTGCATCAGCACAAGATGGAATATAAGGTGTGCAGCAGCAGTAGGATGTGCAGATACATTCAATTCAATTACAATGCTAATAATAATAAAGATAAATGTGTTCACTATATCTGATTCTCTGTGTTAAACAAACAATTGGTACTTACTTCATTACTTTTACTTTGTTATGGATTACATACTTTATTATTGCTGATCCTCACATTATGAGTGAATGTTCAGGATTTGTGCCTGAAAAATGACTAAAAATAGCTGCCATTTAAATTCTTTGTTGAATAACTAATTGAGTAATTGACTATTTTCAGTTCAATTCAAAGG